GGGGTGTAGGCGAACGCGGCCTTCTACACTCCGGGCTGGGCGCATCGCTCTCTTCGGTGAACCAAGGCGCTCGTCTGCCCCTGAGATCTCGGCAGCCGCGAGAAGTGCAGTCGGAGCCGTAACGTCTGGCGGAAGACTGCGGCCTCTCGGTGCCGGGTGAGAGCGCGTACGCGCGCAACGCGGTAATATGAAAGGCATCGGCGAAGGCTGGGAGACGTGTCAGTATTGCTTTCAGAGACGTGTATATAAGCCACCTGCACATGCCTGAGTAGTCCTATAGCACTGATCCAATAGGATATGAATGCTGCAAGGCGGTCAGCATTCGGATGTACGGCGGCGCTGCAGGACCGCTCACCGACATCGAGTCGAGCCACCTGCTTGGCTTCTGCGAGAACAGACCATTTGGGTTGATACTGTAGATGCACCGCTGCAGTCACAGTCAGCGAGTGGAACTTAGATAGTGGTATCGGGAGGGACGTACGTAGAGCGTGAATGACAACAGAGGTGAAAATATACATTGTCTGAGCTTTCCGACTTGTTTGCGGGATGAAACCACGATACGCGAAGCCCTGACTGCTACGTATACATGCAGGGAGACCTTGTGCAACGCGGAGTTGCTCTAGTCAGAGAGCCGTATACGCAGGAGCTCGAGCAGCCGGCGCCGGGAAGCAACCGGGAAGGCCAAACATCGTGGTTTGAGCCTGAGTTGCCTCAGTGATCCGCGGCTCAACCCGCCCCGCCGCCCCGCCGCGGAAGCGTCTCGCGCGTCTTGCACGCAACCTCGATGGCCGCGACCCCTTACCGCATCCGGACAGTAGATGCAGTGGGAACACGCTTGCTGCGACCCCGCACGCTACCAACTCAGTCGCCTGATCCCGCTCCTTAGAAGTCTGACCAGGTTCATGTCGACGTTCTTGTCGGGTCTCGGCCCAATGAAAAGCAATGTTGTGATTGTTGTTTGCTCAGGGTGGGCGTGCTATGATTCCAACGTCCATTGGCTCTCTCCGACTCTCTACCTTCTGTACGAACCTCGGCGCATCTGGTACCCGGACACTTGAAACGCGGTGCCTTGATAAAAGGTCGTCTTTGCCTCTTTTGGGGTTGCTCACGGTTGATTCTGAGAGTAGCATCGTCTTGCGTTCCAGTACAACGGGTCACTCACGGCGGGTTCTCTGGATCTCTCACCCTGGCGAATTAGGGAGCCTTTCCGGAATGGTTCAGTCCAGGGTGACTGCTTCAGCGCGGTTCACACACCGAAGAGGTTATCACACTCGCAGCCTCCGTGGACGATGAAGGGTTGACCGCTGTAATACCTGTCCGAGCTGCGCAGATGCGACACTGCATCGTCGTTGCCTTCAGTGTCCTATTACAGGATCGGCCAGCTGACTTTCAGGCCCATTCATTCATCCATCGCCTTGATCAATATCTGTACTCTCGCGCGCCGTTGCCTTGCATAGTCGCGGAGACACATGCGGAATGCTGTACGTCAAACGTTGTCTTTGAGCGAGCCTTCAAATAGTCCAAAGTCTGCTCCTCGCATCGGTCAGGAAACCCATCGCCCTTCCTCTCACAGCATGACCGAGGCTTTACTCGACGCTCCTCCTGACTTGACTCGAGCATTACAAGGCATAAGCATATTGAGCCCAGAGCAACCTACGGATGGATCTGGCTTGAACGCTGACCGCGAAGCGCATTACCGAGCGTACATGGTGCGGGCCTGCGAAATGTACTAGTTTCTCCCCCGGTCTGACTGCCCCACAGGCTGCAGCGTTCATATACGCCTGCGTCGACAACGACTCGGGGAACTGGAGTAACTTCCATCTGTCTACCACTGATGAGCAGAGCTCGTTCGTATCTGATGCTTCCAATGCGCCACGCATATCCGTTTGCGACAGCGATGCAGGCGAGGAGTTCCTCAACGAAGCCGTTCATGCCGCGCTCCCGGGTTTATCGGACCCCTGCTCTCGACCATCTGGTCAGCTATCATCTAATGGAGATGTATGGCGGTGCCCTGTCACGCGATGCAAAGAAACTCTTCGCCCGTACAATCTCACTCAGCAGCAGCGGGGCGTTGTCGCGAAGTTGTCTGGAGATGACAACACAATGATCATCGAAGGAGATGATGGGAAACTTCGCCTTCGCCATAAGGATCCCTGGAAGTTTCTGCGCTACATAGATGCTGTGGCCTGGGAGCACATCTCTTGGCACCTCCACCGGGCACATATCACATTTTACTATCCTCACCCTGACCGACCATATAAGGTGTGAATACAGTAACAGGTTACATCCCTTTGTTGCTCATCATGTGTATAGGAGTGCGCCGGTTACTGGTGGAACGAAGCACTTTTGGCTCGTGACCAGAGCCTTTTGCAGGAGGTGGAGGGGATTGAAATCGCGAGCCGCCAGAATCGGCGTCAGTGGCTAGTTACAGCGGCAATCAACTCCGCGCAACGCAAGACCCAGCGAGCATGCGCTCGTCTTACACGCTTGCGTCACAACGCGCTACAGGCGCGTCGGAGGCTCGTCTCCCAGATGTTCAGCTTGAACCGCGGTGTAGTTGAGGTGGGCCGCTCGCTATTGACCCTTGTCAGAGAGCAAGAGACCGATCCTCTCACGGCGGTATACTCTGCCGAGATCGCTCACTATCGTGCGGTAGAAATGGAGTGGACGGAGGAGCAGCATATCTGGTTCTGAGTGACTCTGTAGCTGGCCTCTGTATCGCCTTAGAGCAACATCATCCTCCTGTGGGCCGTATATGTATATGTATAGCCGGAGATTCATCGGGCAAGCACTTACTTCGTATCCATTATTCTGACCTTACACGCTCCTCCACACTGCTCTGATCACTTGGATGGACGATCATTTGGAGACATGCTAGGCAAGATGAAGATGCTCCAGCTGCGTCAGAAGCTGAGTAGAGGCGTACAGATCAAAGCAAATGCCGTCCAGCGTCTTCGGCTCAAATCGCGCTGGCCGCAAACCCGCAAAAGGTCCAGGCCTCGATTCCAGTCTTCAAGCTTCAAGCTCCAATATACAGACTACTGTCGTCCGCGAACGACTCCCGCAAAGCTGCGGGATCGCAGGGGATCGCCGAGTCGAGAATGTTCCGTCGGCTCTGAGGCCGAGGTCCGGCCAATCATGTGAGGTAATAATGGGCCATCACGTTCTTGTGGCACACTGAGAGTCGGAGCTCAAAGCGACTCTGCTTGCTCTCCTCCACCACAATCCTTTGCTGTCTGCTGTTGCACACGCTCGAGCTGACTGTAACGTGCTTTCTCATACGAACGTTTACGCACAGCCTCGAATAAGGCTATAATCGAACCACCGTACCCATGCCCCATGGCTTCGACGCCGCGACGTTCCACATCCCAGACGCGCGCCATAGCTTCGGCTGCTCAGCCCGCCCCTTCCGGCTCCGTACCCAGGCGACGATTGCCGAAGTTCAAGAAGATAGTAAATCGGGACCCTGGGCAGACGCCCTCGACACCACAGCCGCCGCGACCAGCGGTCCGGAAGAAGCTTCCGTCGGACGTAGATGTCGTTGTCCGATGGTCGAACAATACCGGGCTGCTAGGCGTAGGGACCACATATCGACCACCCGATGTGCGGCAGGGTGTCGCACGCGATTCTGGCTTCGGTCTGGACGGTCTATGGCGCTGGCACGAACTCCTGCGTCAACCCGGGCTGCTCGACGGCACCTCACCGTACATTGCCTGGATCAAGATCCCCACGATAGATGAGAAGGAAAACAACTTGATGTATAGACGCGCGCAGAGGCGGGACTGTGCCTTACATCCAGAGGTCTTCGTGGAAGGGCGGAAAAGGCGCGGCATGGGAGTCGTGCACGGGATGTATCGAGTCACCGACGAGCTGTACGCGGACATGCAGGAGTTGTGCAAAGACCTTAGAAGAAAGTGCGACGCTGCAACCCGCCTATTACGGCGTGCCATCAACGCTCGTTTGAAAGACGTCAAGAGCACCAGCGTCATTCACCGCATCGTCGACAATGTACGAGACCCCGTTCGGGAGTACTTGGATGTCGTGCACGCTTGCGAACTGCTTCGATACGGGTGCCTCTCCACGTTCGAAGACTTCGATATCTGCTTCACAGCCTTCCAGCGCGCATCTGTGATCATGCAGGCTTATGTCGATTTTGTCTTGGCCATCATACCCATGGACATGACAAACGGTCTTGCGACGCTGCCTTCGAAGACCTCGAGCGCATTTCGTCGCGGCGTCATTCTCTCTGGACGTGATATCGAGGCCTATGTCGGGTTCTTCAAGCGGCTGTGCATCCCCGTCTGGATCTATGCGGACCTCAACGAGGTCGATATTCCTCTGGACAAATTTGGTCCGGCCGATCTGCCGCGCTGCGACGTGGCTTTATGCCAACACCTCAGTGATTAGCTGTCCCCTCGATCTCCTTATTATCTCGCTGATCCAGTTACCAGATTCTTATCGGCAGAGGGTGCTACCGATGCGTTGGTACCCGCCACCTCCAGACTGTACGTGGAGTCTCGTAGAGCCGATTGCAAGAGGGTACCTCCCGCGCCCCGATCAAGCGACGTTCAAGCTCGGTGATGAGGCTCAGCGTAAGAAGAGGAAGATAGAAGCCAGTCAAAAACGTGCGTCCTTATAAATACCACTTTCTCATTCGCACATCACTCAAAGGCACGCGATAGACCAACAGCGGCGCATCGACAAGGAGGAGAGAGCTTTGAAGCGGGCTCAAAAGGTCTTCGGCGACTTGGGCCCGTCGCTCGTGCGATATAAGGAGCTGACTGCGCGATCGCCAGCCGCCAGGCGTTACTTCATCCATAAGCTCAAGCCCCGCCCTACGTTTGCGCCGCGCGTTCTGCCGCGATACGCAGCATGCGAGAGTGATGCTGAACGTCACCTCAGCCTCCTCGCCCCGCCACTTCAGCATCCTGTACCCACTAGCCATCCCGACTTTCTCAATAAGTCTGCCGAAGTTCCGCGCGACGTGCTTGACAACGCGGTGAAGCAGCAGCTCGAACAACGCCTTCTAAAAACTTTCATCCCTCCTCTATGCATCTTCACTGCAACGACGACATGGAAGAAGACGGTTATGTATGTCAGCAACGCCGTCCGCCTGTTGCCTTCAATCCTCGATCGCGTACCGACTTCGCGCGTTGATCCGCACGTTCAACCTCTTGGCCCCTCAGATTGGAGGGCAATCCTCTCCATCAACCACTGGAAAAAGCTCAGTTTCGATACCCAGAGGCAAGTTTACGTCAACAAGAGGCTGCATCAACTGCGCGAGGAGCTAGAGGAGGGCGAGGCGCTGGATGAGGTGAAGGAGCGAGCGAACGCGATGAAGGACAAGATAGACCTCGAGCCGTACGACCACAAGACGTGGTATAAGTACGGCAGTCTGCAGTTCTACGGCCAACATACCACCGACTTGATTATGGATTCTGAGAACCCCACCGTGCCCTCGATCGGCAAGCTGCCGTGTGGCTGCGATGCGACGGAGGAGCTTCTTCTCGAGGATCCGGACCTCGTCACCGCTATTCTTACTTGGTTCGAACAGTTGCGTCTCATGCACTGGTTCGCAGAGCTCCTATCCGTCTCCCTCTCTGAAGAGGGTACATCCTCTATGCCCGACTTTCGCGCAGGGGCGGACGCGCAAACCGAGACAGTCATGCTGATCCGGAAGTTGGTCCTCCATCTGCAGTCAGTCGGGATGGATGGATGGCCAGTCGGTCGGGATGACCTATTTGATGAAAATTACGTCGCCCGTGCCTTGACCAAAGTCCTCGTACGAGCCAACTGTGCAGAAGACGTCGACAAGTTTTGCGCGAATGACGATCTGTGGATTTCTACGTCTACCCTGAAGGGAGTCCATTACGAGCGCCTAGACCAGACCGAGTTCCAATATATGCTTGATCACCTCTACATGCGCTATATCCTCACGTCCTTTGCCGCCAAGCAGTGGCCCGTTGAATTCAATGAGCTACTACATCCGCAGTCTCTCTATTGTCAAGGCTGTCGTCAACGCTTGGCTTCTCCTCTGGACTCGCCATCGCCATCGCCATCGCAAGACGAAGACTCTGATCATTCAACATGCGACCCGGGCGATGTTCCACAGGACATGGCCGCATCATCTGATGCGGGATCGCCAGGTGGACTCCACACCGAGGATGAAGATGAGGATTGGCGCCACTATTGCCGGCACTTCTCGGACGACGAAACAAGCACGGACGAGAGCTCCTCGGTTGCGCAGGACGAGTACGACTATAATGAACATTCAAGGAAGGAAGGGACAGAGAGCGACGGTTGAGGTAGGGCGATGTGTGCGTAAGTAGCCCATCCAAGCTACGCTGTCTGTGTTTGGAATCTGCGTGCATCTGCCTCGCGTACTCTCATCGTCTCTGCATGTTACCCCCGCTTGTACATACTACTCGCGTAGCTGTCTCTTTGTGACTGGTCACTTCACTTACTCCGACGCAATGCTTCACCCTCACTATAGACAATGCGCGTCATTTGCTCGTCCGAACAGTGAACCCCATGATCATACCCGCTTATCTCGGCCTGGACCCAGAAACCGTGAACATAGGGCTTCATCTTTATTTTAGGGTAAAGCGAGTACTGCCGCGAGACAACGACCCAGAGCTTGATGGGGCCGCTAACCGTGGTCCGTGCAAGACCTGTACTTTGGGAAAGGGGTAAATGTCGTCATCGCGAGCTGGATGCGGGCGCACGGCGCAGAGCTGACGCTTCCCTTATTTGGCATAGCGCGCGGTCGGGCCCGCTCCGAGAGACACGCGAGCGCCTGAACGGCCTTCGACCGCGTCGTCCTCGCTGTCGCAGACAGCGAGCTCGCTCTCCCTTCGTTCTTACCCTTCCCCTTGCCCGTTTACCTTGTACTTAGCATGTGCAGGCTCATAATAATGATGTCTCGCCATATATGCGGGCTACGTAGCGACATGAGGGTGGCGTAAGTAACGCACTCCTTTCGCGGCCCAGCCAGCGGCTGAAGTATGCTCTCCGGAGACCGGGTTTGGCTCCTCGGTGCTTTCTAGAAGTAGTAGGGTGCGCTCGCTACAAGGGGCGGCGAGCTCAAGAGTACGGATACATATTGGGTATGTACGGTGTCGTATTCACGAGCTCTTCTCGAAACCAGCATCAGCTAAGCATAGAGCGAGCCCGGTACTATACGTAGCTAGGCTTGACTGTTTCTCGTCGCGACGCGACTTCACTAGGTGCCGGCGACGCGTCGTCGCCCGCCGTTCGAGTCGCCGCGGCCAGCGCGAGCCGCGCACGTAGTGGATACAGGCTATAGAAGTGATCTACCTTGACAGGAGTCGAACAAAAGTGTTGTATAGGAAGGCTCGAAATAGCTTGTCGGAGCACATTCGACAGTTACAGATGTGAGCAGAGGCCACTAAAGTGAAGCTGCGCCGCCAACCGCTCGCTTCTTCGAAGCAATGTAAACATCGCCGAACTGCTCCCGGCGGCCGTACTTGGTGCGGACTTCGAGGACGCTGCGCCTTGTTGACGAACACCAGCTGCCTAGCGTCGAGGGGTTGGTTCTGGCTATGGTTGTCGTTCGACGGCCCAGAGCCAGGCGCAGCGGCGGGGTTGCCTGGGTTCATATTGGAATGGGTGTGAAGGGAAAGGGGAGGGCGACGGGCTTCGGTCGACGCCTGCGGGTGGGTTGGATGCCGGCGCATTGAGGGCACGGGCGTCTCTTTCGAACCCCAGTAAGAGGCTTCAGCGAATAGTCGGCTAGCGAGCACGCAGGAATCAAACGAGGCGACGATTGGGTGAACGGGAGCAAATTGATGGCACGCCGCCGAAAGCACGGCCCTAGGCGCCTTTCAACGCCTGCCCTCGCTCCCAGTCAACGACTGCCCTCCTGTCCTCTGGGAGACTCTTCCAAGTCGAGAACCTCCCTAACTGAGCCGCCCAACCCTCACCGGCAGCTTCATCCATCGCATCCTTCTCAGCAGCCGTGAAGTCGCCCGACTTGCGGAAGCCATAGGCCACCCATCGGATCAGACTGCCCTGGCAGTACTGCGTGACGCTGTACCTCTTGTCACCCGGCGCCAGCTGCGTGTTGCCATGTCGAAGGCCTGCCGACAATAGGAGGATGGTTCGCCCGGCCGGGAACTTGATGTACAGGCGAAGGTCGAACAGGATGAGGTGGCCGCCCTCTTCGGCCTTGAAAGATCCGAGCGCCGTGATGCTGCACGGAATGCCCGCATAGTTGGTGCCGTCGTTGTGGCCATAGGTAACGGAGACGGGACCGAGATTGAAGGTCACTGTGGGGTAGATGCTGAGGCCCTCGAAGGGGAAGCGGAGTTCGGGGTGTGCTTCGCACAGCGCCCGAAGGCGTTCGCGAAGGTGTTTGTACACCAACGGGAAATAATATGCGAGCGCCTCTGTGTTTGTATGAGCGAGCTGCCGCCAGTAACGTCGCTCCGCAACATACCACTAGCGAAAGCAGCAACCCGCCGCATGTTGCCGTCCTTGAGAAGCTCTTCGGCCACGGCGCGATGCCCTGCGTGCGCATACGTCAAGTTCGAAGGGCCCTTCGTTGTTCATAAGCTCACGAATAAAGTGAACGTAGTAAATGCGCACCGTCTTGCCGTTGCTGGCCGTGAACCCCGTTGCGAATGCGGCAAACACGCCACGGTCGTGGTCGAAGTACTTGCCGTCCTCCGCGAAGGCATCAGTGTGCTTCACGCGGGCCTGTTCGAGCGTCTTGGCGAGCTCCACCATCGAGTTCTCCCAACTTAGCTTCTCTTCTTCAGAGAGGCGCTTGGGAGGACCGAGCAAAACGCAGATTAGGCGGTTCTTGTTGTCGAGAATGGCAACGGTGTCGCTATCGAACAAGTCAGCGCAACGTAAAGAAGAAGACAAAGGCGTCGGCATACTTGCCATCCCAAGGCAGTTCTTTGAAGCCGCGCTTCTTTAAATCCTGCACGGTATACACCTTCTTATCCTTGTACGAAAAAGAGTTGTATCCACCCCGCTGGGTGGCGTAGCGGACCTCGAACGTCTTCAGGTTCACGAGCTTGACTGTGCGAGGGCGTGCGTAGTACTTGCTCTCATCGTGGAGCCTGTCGTACGGTTTGGCACGGGCGGCGTCTGCGCGAGCCTGAGCGCGCTTGAGTGCCTTGCGCCGTTGCTTGTAAGCCTTCTCCTTCGCAGTCTTCTGCTTGGGGGCTTTGCCGCCGTCTTCACTACCACCGGCTCGACCACCCGCGCCGTCCGCCTGCGCTGCCTGCGCCCCGCCGACGTCGCCCTTGGCGCGTTTTCTTTGCCGGTTTGCTTTCTTGTCGCCGCGTTTACGCTTCGCGCCACTTGATGCAGGCGCGTCGGGTTGCGGTCCGGGTTCCGAGTCCGACCCAGCAGAACGCTGCGTGCTCTCGTCGCAAACCGACGCAGCACCGTGGGAGGGCGGAGGGCGTTGCAACGGGGCAGTTGCGGTTTGCATAGGGGATTGTCGAGGGGGCGGGCGGTACTCCGCTCGTTGAGGAGACGTCGCGCCAGCAGAGCACGAGCGGAAACGAGGCTCGCGGGGATGAGTTTGGCCACGGCGCGCACCGCGCCCACGCCTCTCTTCTGTCGGCATCCGGGACGAGCTCGGGCGCGCGTTGTCAGGCGGCGAAGGGGCCGTATGCGGAGTCGACGGCGGCGAAGGGCCAACATAAGCTCGGGAACTGGCGGGATTGCCCTGTCCCCTGTCGCAGCCCACTTGAGCTGCGCCCGTACTTGCCGCCCAGCTCTTGCGCTCAGCCTCACACAACTCAACGTCCTCCAGAAGGCCGCAGACGGCATCGAGAACCTCGCGCACGTCTGCTGTTTGGCGGGCCTGCGGTTCGCTGGGCGACACGTCGTCATCCGAATCAAGCGGCGTGAGCGGCTCAGTCGGAGACCAGCTGAGGGGGGCGTCGCTTTCGTTGCGGGCGTCGATCATGGCGCTCAGCCGACAGGCGCTGCGCATCAGGCGCTCGAAAGGGAGGTCAGTCGCGCAGGGGAGAGCGTCCGTAAATTCGGCATAGCTTGTGCCAGAGCGCGTCGTACGGGCCATCTAGAGTAACAAGAAAGATTGTCAGTCGGCTGAAAGCATGAGGGCGAAGTTGAAGACGGGTGAGGAGGCTATGCAAAACCGCCGCCACTACAAAGTCACCTCCAAAGGCTCGTGCGGAACCTCCGGCGTGCCAGTGCAGCAGCGTCAGCCCGCGCCACCTCAAAGACAGGGCACATGGATGCGACGGCACACCTTGTTTACAGCTGCCAATGCGTCGAGGAAGTGGTGGGGGCAGCTCAACAAAATGAAGCCACTTTGTGCAGAGATCAAGAAGATGGTCACGTGATCTTGTTGAGTGGCACCAGATTCCCGATCCTCCGAACACAGTCGAAAACTCGATTTAATATTGCGCCGTATGAATCCGTTGGGCCCAAAGACGACCGCAATGCTGCGACAGGTGATGCTTCAGATAAATAGCTCCGTGTCCTATTTGAAACTGACCTTGACACTGGGCACCTTCCTCTTGCAAAACATCAAGTGACGCATCGTATCGTCGAGTATATTGGTGGCGTTAGCCTCTTTCCAGAGCAACCAGAGGAGGCAATTCAGTCCTGAATCAACGACGAGCTGAACTTCCTCAAGACGACGACGCGCAATGAGTCGAGGAGCAGATGGCGCTTGTCAAGTACGCGAAGGGCCTCGACAAGCTGAGGGAGGCAGAATGCGTCGAGTCAAGGGCTCCATGGTGTACCTCTCTCTGACTTCTCTGATAGCGAGATGTTGTTGGATCCTGCATGCCCGGCTGCTGACTATGTCAAGATCACGAGCAACCCGCCACTGCGCGCTACGGTGCCGACGCGACGCTCGAGCGCGGACGACTTGTGCGCGATTTAGCCGCCGCCGATCGTTGCCGAACGTCCGTCGAACATTGAGAGGGTGTTCTCAACATCAGAGCGGTGGAACAGGTCGACGTCGGGGTATGAGAGGGCGGCCGACTGCATATGCAACAAGAAGTTGGTGCGAGTCGCAAAGGCAGTACAGGGCACCGTCATCTCTAGCATGATGGGGCTCGAAACCTTGCTTCATGCCTCGGTCAACGGCACCGTACATAAGCTTCGCCTCACCGAACCTCATTTGGAAACCTATCTGGACAGCTATCGTCACCGCCAGCTCGCCGTGAACTGCGCTATTCACGGACGATTCGGGAGAGATCTAAAAGCGGCCGGGCTGTCCGACTGCAAGGTCCTGCCATACAGTCCCTGCAAAGCGCAAGGCCGGTACCTTTCGGGATCCGGACTCTCCTGTGACGCATACAAAGCCCTAACCTCTGCGTGTAGACGACATCGCGAATGATTAGACGGGAGGTGACGATCACAGCGACTCCGAAAATGAGGAAGATGGGCCGGTGCAGAAGCTCGCAGAGGTGATGTTATGCACATCGGACCAATGCCTTCAAGAATCAATATCGTATTTGTATCTTGTGTATCGTAGCGCAAAGTGTGTTCTACGAGATATGGGGGGAGCAGTAGCCGC